AGTGAAAAACCAAGGTGAACAGAAAGAAGGGGAGAAGGTTGATCTGTGTAAGACTGCCACTCATGAATAATTCTGGAGGAAAGAAGACTGCAGATAGGAAAAAAGTTGGTGGCTAAGGGATAAAAGCAATTTAAAGGTAAGAAAACACTGTGTGGAATGCCTGTGTTTGTGATGGAGATTCATGCTTACAACATTACATTAAAGAGCACTGCTAAGTTGCTTGCCCCGTAGTGTTTATCCATCCAGATTTAAAACACTCCATTTTCATACTGCTTAGCTCTCAAAAAAGATGAACTCTTGGCATTTGTGACAATATGGATGGAACTGGAGGGGATTATGCTAAGTGAAATAAGTCAGAGGAGAAAGACAAATATCAGATGATTTCACTCACGTGGAATACAGAGAAGACAGTCAAACAACAACAATGAAACCTCAAAGGAACTGACAAAATGAAACCAAAATAAACCCTAAAAATATAACCACAGAATTGAGGATACTAGAGGGCGAGGGAGGGTGGGGTGGGACAAAGGTGAAAGGGGACACACTGGTTTCTGGTGAAGGACTAATGGGTGCTTGGATAGAGGGGGTGGGTGGTAGGATGCATGAGATGAAGTGTGAGCCTATTGCCCTCAACCATGTACAGTGCTGTAAACCCATGGCACCTCAATAAAGGAAAAACAAGTAAATGAATAATTAATTCCATTTTCTTCTTCCCGGGACTGTCTACAATATTCCTGTTTTTCTGTTGACTAAAATAATCCAGTAGAGAATGGTTGATAGTGAAGAAGGCAGAGAGTATGAGTACAGTCCTGCTGTCACATTAGGATTTCTTTGCATTTTTTTCTGACATTTGCCCAACTCGACATCCACTATTCTTCCAGGTTAATTTCCCCCACACTGAAGAAAATCTCATTTTTCCTTCTTTGGAGTTTCGACTTATTGGCCTCTCTCACTTGGCTTCATGCCTTTAAGGTATTGAAGTCACCCTGGATTCCATTCCTGTCTTGAAAGATAAGCAGCCAACTTTTAAGATTTAAAGAACATATACAATATTAAACAGTTTAAAACTTGGCTGGTCCCTGAAGGAGCCTATACCATGGTCTCACACCCTTAGTAACTGGTGCAGCTGTTGAACCATTAATGACAATGGCTTGGGTGTTCTCCATAATATAATAGCCTGGGAGGAAGAAAGAAAAGCATAAAGAAAGATAAGAAAGAAGAATAAGAAAGGTGATGATGAATAAGAAAAATGTGCTGAGATTTATCTCCGGTGGAGCAGTGGTGAAGATTGTGAAGAGCTAGCAGGAGCTATCAAAAACATCTTCTTGTTCCTCCTGGTGCCATTAAGCTTCCCTTTCACCTCGAGAGCACAGGCTCTGGTTTGTTGTTGACATTGTCACAGAGGGACAGAACTAGAAGCCATGCCCAAGCACAAAGGTGACATTGGTCCTGCCTCCCTGTCTACATAATCTGCCCATTCATCAGAGATGGAAATAAACAGGCATGCATTTTTTGATAAGATCAGTAAGAATCCAATGTTGATGAGTGAAGAAACTAAGTAAGTGTGGTGAACAGCTTGGTTTTTTTCCATAAATGGCATTTGTTGTGCAAGCCTGCACGACTGGTCATCAGTTTGTCTTTCTTGTCTCCAGTTTGATCACATCTGACCCTCTGAATCTGAGCATGTGGCTTTAATAGCAGATTCACCTGTGCATGAGTGAGGGCTATGGTCAAGAGCACCCAGAATTTGTTCTGACATACAGAGCACAGATGGGGTATAAAAATGAAGAGGTCTGCTTGGGCGTAGGGAGGGACACGTGGCAAACTTGGGGAGGCATAACAGGCTCTAGTGAGAATGAGAAAACCCCTGAGAGAATGGGTGACTTCAAGTTGGAAGTGGAAGAACTGATGGGAGAAAAGGGGGAATGAGAGGACACACATCTTCAAGGCACCATTGTCCCAATCTATCCACGTCAGCGATTTTCAAAATCTGCTTTTTCTCACCTTTGTTTCAATTATGTTTTTGTTTCTCTTTTTAAATATATATTTTTTAATTTCCCCCTTTAGATCCCCTTGACCCTTCCTACTCTCTTCCTCTTAACCTTAGAAACTCCACTTCATTTATTAGGATCTCCCAATTTTTATTAGTGCTGTACTTTGTTGAACCATCTGCTATAGGTCTAATATGTCTTTGTCATTCTGACTTCCCTTACTATGCCTGATTCCCTCAAACTTCTTCCATTTTGCTGTAAATGGTAGTATTTTTATGACTGTATAGTATTCCTAGAGTGGATTTGCCACTGCTTGATCTACTCTTCTATTGAGAGACATTTAGGTTGTTTCTATGTCTAGTTATTGTAGACAGCTGGTTCTGGTTCCATGTTCTTTGGATAGAAGCCTACGAATGGGTTTGTGGGTCAGGCGGTGTTTCTATTTTTCGTTTTTTAAGGTAAATTCAGATTGTTTGCCACAAAGTCTGCTCTAGTTTATAGCCCCACAAATTGTCTAATAGAGGTCCTCTCTCACCACACCTGCCAGCACTTGTTTTTGTGGGACTTCTTAAAATGAGCCCTTCTTGTGGGTGTGAGGTGATAGCTCATTGTGGTTTTTTTTTTTTTTTTTTTTTTTTAAGAGGCATGTATTTTTATTTATTTATTTATTTGTTTGTTTGTTTGTTGTACATGCACTGGGTACAGTCAGAAGCGCGGGAGGGTGAGAGAATTCACCAGAGCCAGGGCAGGGAGCAGAGCAGGCAGAAGGACCGAAGTACACTGCTGAGGGGAGCAGCGGGCGGCAGGAGAGGTCTGCGTGCCATGTGGGACCCTCCTCCGGTGGCCGGGGAGCAGCCGGGGATCGAACTGGCGTCGCAGAGGCTGCGGGCAGCTTCGCAACCCAGCACTCAACCGCTGCGCCACCGGGGAGGCCCTCATTGTGGTTTTAACCTGCATCTCTTATTGGAAGGGATGATGAACGCTTTTCCACTATCTATTGGCTTTCTGGCTATCTTCTTCAGTGAGTTGTCTGTTTAGATCTGCTGCCCATTTATTTTCTGGGTTGCTTGTTTTTCTGTGGTTGAATTGTATACTTTTTTATATATCTTGGTATTATTGCTTTGTCAGTTATGTAACATGTAGACATCCTACCAAAAGGTAGACTGTCTTTTTAATCTACTTATATTTTACTTTGCCCTGTAAAAACTTTTTTGTGGTAATGCCAATTGTTTGTTTTTGCTTGTATTTCCTTGCTGTAGAGGTAAAGTCTCCAAAATAATCTTTATTGTTGATGCCATGGAACATACCACCACTGTTTTCTTCTATCTATCAGGTTGTTGCAGGTCTTATCTCTAAATAAATCTTAAATCTGTTTGGAATTTATGTTTTTATGTGGGAATAGAGAGTCATCCAACTGCATTCTTTGAAACATAGCCTTCCAATTACCCATTTTGTAAATGGTGGGTCCACATATGGTTTCTTTGAAAGACGTAATCCACTGTGGAGTTTTAAAAATCAGCTCTTGTATGCATAAGTAACTAAATCTTTTTTTTTAAAAAATCTAGTCCTAGATAGTGGCAAGCATACAAATCATTTGACAGTTACCTTGGCTAGCTTCCTTGTTACTTTGAACATCTTCTCGAAGAGGACTCAATCTCCAAAACTAAGTGAGGCAGCGAAGGCAACATTGAGCTCAGATCGCTATGACCTGAGTTTGTGCCTTATTGTCTGGGTAATTATGGGTAAGCCGTTCATTTACTTTTCTCAATACTCTTTCCCTAATCTCAAACATCGAGGGGAATATACAAAAAGGAAAGCAAAATGTATTGTGTGAAAGAACTTGGTAGTAAAAGCTCATTATCTCTTGATTGAATGGTGTTTGGTTGCCATAGAGAAGATCATGTGTGTTGGAATCCGGGCATGTATGCTGATTACCCCTCTTCCTTTTACATTTTACGAATTCTTTTTCAGTAATGGAGTAATGCTTAATACACTATAGTTGCCCATGGGTATTTCATGCACAGAGAAGAAACATAATTGGCTTAGCAGCTAAATGTTACCCAGATTTTTTAAAAAGCTAATTGAGAGAAACCTCAGGATTCTCACTTTATCAAGTCCCAGGCATTTGGTATTGCACAGGGCTGTCTTGCTCCCACCTTCCCAACTCCATATGGAATTTTTTGGGCTCTCTGGCTCCCAGCTTGGCCTTGCCCATGTCTCAGCTCAGGAATTCTTTTTTTTTTTTTTAAAGATTTATCTAAGAACTGAGGTGTAAGCCAGAGGTACAGGGGGCGAGGTGATTCACCAGAGACAGAATGGGGAGCAGAACAGGCAGATGTACTGAAAGACACTGCTGAGGGGAGCAGCAGGCGAGACAGGAGAGGTCTGCTGCGCCATGTGGGTTGCTACCTGGCTGACCAGGGTGCGAACTCATGCTGTAGTGGCTGGTGATAGTGTGATAGCACTGTCTTTAACCCCTGTGCCACCAAGGAGGACCAAGCTCAGGTATCCTTGCAGACACCCCGGCTGTCACTTCAACCATGTTGAGATAGGGGTCTCTGCCCTGCAAGTCTACTCAAGCAAAATACAATGTGCTTCTGCCCTTTCCCAAGGGCGGACTTGGGACTATTTAACTTGTGATCGGCTTCTGTCAGTTCATCTGATCAGCGAAAAAGTATCCAGTTTCCTTTCTCAGTGTTCTGTAGTGCCATTCTACCTAACTCTACTGTTGTTGTTGGTTTTTTTTTTTTTTTTTTTTTTTTTAATTTATACAAGCACTGGGTACAGTCAGAAGCGCGGAGGGTGAGAGAATTCACCAGAGCCAGAGCGGGGAGCAGAACAGGCAGACCGACGAAACACACTGCTGAGGGGAGCAGCAGGCGCGGCAGGAGAGGTCTGAGTGCCATGTGGGACCCTCGCAGGCGGCCGGGGATCAAACTGGTGCTGCAGAGGCTGTGGGCAGCTTTGCAGCCCAGTGCTCAACCACTGCGCCACGAGGGAGGCCCTCTACCTAACTGTATTGGAGCAGTATTTTTACCCAGTCATTTTGATTTCAGGGCATTGCGATTCAAATTTGCAAACACAGACATTTTGGTGCCTCGATTTAGTCAGACTATGTCAACAGTGATAACTTTTCTTTGAGAAGGGGAGAAGGTGAGATAGGAGCATGTAGATGGTGAACCCAACCTAGACCACCTGTTTGCCTCACTGCCTCTCTGGCACGCATCCCATGTGAGGCCTCAACAGGAGCTACAGGGCTGGCTTTGTGTCTTGCTCAGAAAATGCATTTTACTCTCCCATAGTACAGCTAGCTAGTGGCACTAGAGGAAGAAGTGGTGCCCCCAATGAGGCAAGTTACAGCACTGGAGGGCTGGCAGCAGCAAGCTCAAGGTAGAGGCTTTAAGGAGGAACGGGGTGAAAGAGGTAGCAAAACTGGGGCACCCGTGAGCCATGAGCCCCACCAGGACAAATGGCGCCATTGTCACTCAGACCACCCAGTGCTGTCAGCTCCTCAGGTCAATCCACCATGAGCCCCAACTGTGCTGACAGCCTCATGGCGGGAGGACAACGCACTTCCCCTTTAGTGCTCCTGTGGCTGGTTGGGCACTTCCCATACATCTGCACCCGCCACCACACTATACTTTGCTCAACCAACGTTCCTCCAGGCTCCCTGGGCTTCTCCATCCAATAGGGGCAGGCACAGCCCAGCTGCTCTAGGCTTATGATAGCCAAGAGAATTGTTTCTAACATTCTCAGCCCACTTTGTTTACCTTTAACTAACTCAGCACCCCCTTGAGTCACTGACAGAATAAAGTTAGAGGGTACGGGTATAAGATGACTTATAGGTATAGGCCAAATATGCCAGGGTATAAAATGTCAATCAACAGGGCCTCCCTGGTGGCGCAGCGGTTGAGCTCAGCGCTGTGAAGCTGTCCTCAGCCTCTGCAGCGCAGGTCCGATTCCCGGCTGGCCAGGGAGAAACCCACATGGCGTGGCAGATCTCTCCTGTCTTGCCCTCTGCTCCCCTCAGCAGTGTTTTCAGTCATCTGCCTGTTCTGCTCCCCGGTCTGTTTCGGGTGAATTCTCTCACCCTCCTGCGTCTCTGGCCTGTACCCAAGTTCTTGCATAAATAAATAAATCTTAAAAAAAATTAAAAAAATAGCTTTAAAATGTCAATCAACACTTATCAACGTGACACAGGAGGGTAGCACTGACCGTCAGCTAGCAGGTAAGAAAAAATAAGGGAAAAAAGATCAAGCCTTGATGGGCAACAATCACATCTCTTCCACTGTGCTAAGAGTACAATTGATAGCATTACAGTAGAATTCTATTAATTTCAAGTCTCACATTGATGAAATGCTATGGTATCAAATAGTGCCTTTCTTTAGACATATTCCAGAAATCAGACAAATAGCCTGGCTCTGATAGTCTAAAAGCACTTGACTTGGGTCCTGACCCAAGTCCTGACCTGTGTAGTCCAGGTTATACTATAACATCAATTTTTCTTTGAAAAGATCAGAATTTTTGGGTGTGCTTGTGTTTGGGTTGAGTTTAGGGAAGAAGAGGTAGGTAGAGAACTTTGCTCTGTTGGCAGAAAAGGGCCAACAGACACAGGCCACAACCACAGGCAAAAAGTTAGAGAAACCTGTTATTAAATTTAATTTTCTTTAAATACATAGTTTCCCCCCACCCTCACCCCCACATGGGGAGGGACAGAAAACCTCCACCCACTCTGTTTGGGGATCCCATGTATAAAGCCTGAGATGGTGGGGATGCAGTATAAAAATACTATTTACAAAGGGAAAGGTATCTGTTGCTACATTAACCTTCAGATACTCCCCAACCCCAGGCCCCTCTTGCTTCTTTAGAGAATGGCCCTGGGAATCCATGTAAGTGTCTATCCTTCCTTTAGAGGGAACTGGACCCCATGGAATAGGAAGCTCTGGGATTAACTGAGGAAGAGAATGAATGGATAGCACCTCAAACCCTAGCAGGGAGAAGGGCTTGCCCTTCATCACCCCATAGTCAGCAGGCCGGCTGGCCAGTCTTTTTTTCCTTAGTTCCCTGTAAACACTGGCTTTCCTTTCATATGTCCCCACTCTTGCTGACTTCCCAGAGAGCCTTCCTCACTTCCACTGGAGGCACTTGGTTCTTCAATCTTTCCTTCCTCCCTTCTAGACTTCCCATGGAAGGAGCGGGGAGTACAGGAAAGGTTGTAGGTGGGATGGAACCCATCTTATCCCTTCCTCTATGTCAAGGTAGCTTGTCCTCCTAAGGGGGTCCCTCCAGGGGTAGACCCCAAGTTCTTGAACAGGTAGGGGTGGCTTTCCTTCCCTAGAGCAGGGATAAGGCAGGTACATAGTCCAGTACCACATACAGTGGTCTTGATGGCTGAGTCACAAGGAGGAAGGCCTCAGGAGGCAGAAAGGTGGGGAGTCTGGTCTCCCCCTGAAGGTGATAGGCCAGCCCTGCACTGTGTCCCCTCCAGGTGAGCATGGCCATCACCACCCAACAGTCTGGTTCACTGTGGCTGTGCAGAGGGACCAGGCAGCCCCAGGACTTCTCCAGGCCTGGCTATGGCAGCAGCACTCACACCAGTTCATCCAGGAGGATCCCGATGCTCTGGGTGGCCTCCGAGGGGCCGGCAATGGGCTTGTTACACATCGGACACACACAGCGCACTTCCAGCCACTTCACAAGACACCTGAGGGCAGAAGGAGACTTGGTTTTCCCTAAGAAGATACTCCAAGCTGCTCCACTTATCTCTATTCATGGGGCCCATCTGCCGTTAGAACAAAAACATCACTGTCCCTATCCCAATACACCCGTCCAGCTTGCCTGGTGTATGGAGATGATACAGGGCAGGGGGTGGGTGGGACGTACAGGGACTGGAGGTTCTAGAAGATGCTCCCTGCTTATTTCTTCCAAAAGGCACCCCTGGACATGCATCCCCACCATGAACACTTACTTCCGGTGGAAGGCATGTTGGCATGGAAGCACGCCTAACTCATCCTTGCCCTTGAAGTCTTCCAGACAGACTGCACAGGTCTGCTGTGGAAAGGAATGGGGCAGCGTGAAAGGAGAGCAGGGAAGAATCTCATACCCATCCATGAAGACTGAGTTCCTCCAGTCTTCTCATCAGCCTAAGAAACTTCAGTCATCATCCCAAAACTGCACTGACAGTTCAGTTGCCATTAACCACATGCGACTGTTTAACCCAAATAAGATGAAATTAACAATTTATTTCCTCTGCTTTACTAGCTGTGTTTCAAGTGCTCCACAGCCACATGTGGCTAGTGGCTCCCACATGTTCAGTGCAGATAATAGAAACTTCCTTCGGACACTGCTCTTCTGGAGGACTGGCTTTCAATCCTTTCCAACCAGTACATCTGGCAAGGGTTAAGGATGGGGGACGGTGTATGTGGTCAGCTACATTCTCACACCCCTGCTCCTTACCGGCTAGCCCCTTTGATCTCAGTTGATTTGCTCTTTTAGGGCAGGCATTAGGAAACATCTGAACTTGCTGAGATGTAATAGCAGACATCAAAAATAAGGATGAAATGAGGCCTTGTCTGGGGCTGCCTATGTCTGGTAATAGTGGTGATTCTATTCCTTTTCCTCTCACTCCCAGACAAGCACACATATATTCTGCATAGGAGCGTGTGGGCATGGAAGGAGGCTTTGGGAAATGAGTTAGGTGGCCTCAAAGGCATAGGTGAGAAAGGAACAGGAAGTGGCCTATTTCTCAGAGTCAGGGTGGGGAAAGGAATGGAGGAGTGACAGGAAAGTACCACAGGAATAATGCCTCAGTCAGATCCAGGCCTGTAAGACAATGTAGATGCCAGAGCAAAGCTAGGACATGGGGTCTGAACATGCAGAAAGTTAAAAGCTGGATCGTGCTTATGGCATCAACTAGGATGACCACTCTTCCCTTCAAGATTATGTAGCCCCATCTCTCTGGGGCCACGAGTCACTGCTTACTCAAACCCTTATGTGATTGATCCCTTTATAAAGTTTTCTCCTTGGCTCCAGATGTGAGTTCCACATATTGATTACCTGCTGGGTAATCAATGGCCCTGCTGGGTCTTCTTGGCCCAAGAAGACACAAAAGAGGGGACTAAAAGGTCCCTTAGAGGGTCCAAGCTGTGTGCCAGTGAGGACGCCTTGGGCCTTACCCACTGGGGCCCTCCCTTGTGCTGCTCCATTACACTCACCCCATATAATTGTGACTTCTTGGCGTCGCCTTTGAGTACCACCTGGAAAGAAATGAGAAGGCAAGGCTTCAGAAGGAAACAAGCCCAGGGACTGGAGTATCAACCCACAAAGGGATCCCTAGTCCTTCACAGTGGTACCCCCTTCTTCATGCCTCCCTATGCAGGGCTGAGCTTTGGGCACTGACTGGGCTCTGCAGACAGAGAAAGGTGTCAGAAAAGGGCAAGAGGGGAGGCCTGGGGGATTCCAGGCTTACGCTTGCTCTCCTCCCCTGTCTAGCAGGACAAACATGGAGAAGGTGTCTCAGGAAAAGGCGTGCACGTTACCTCCTTATATCCATATCGTTCACTCTGTGCCTGGTTCCGGAGTTTGCTGGGGGAGAAAGCAGGAGGGGAAAGGTTACCAGGGCTTTGCACAGGGCCATTCAAAATTGGGAGGATGGGTTGGCTGCTTGGGCATTCTTCTGGGGTGGGGAGGGATGCTCCCCACTGGAGTGTCCCACCCCATAGACATCATGGGGTACGGTTGGACCAATCAGGTCACAGAGAATGGATTAAAGACTCAGCTCCTTACTCAGGCTCGATCACTTTGAAACTTACTGTCAGGTCCCAGAGATTAGAGAATTCTCACAGTGCATCCTGAATAGTTCTCCCTGCTATCTCCCTAAAGTTGGTCAATTCCTTCAGACTCCCAAAATATATAGATCAGCAATCTGCCTACTGAGTACAGAGAAGTAAGATGCTGTTTAAAAGTTATTTTCATTAAGCCAGGGTAGCAGGATAAATAAATCGCTGTTGACCCTGGGGAATTTTCCATCTGGGGAACACAAGTATTCTGGAACCAAAGCACACTCTTCACTTCCCAATGCCAAGCAAATACAAACTACTCCTTTTTGTTCCTTCTTTTTCTCTCAAGCTAGTGGCCTATATACAGCCCAAGTCTCAATGCTCAAAACACAGGATGCTGTTACTTACGGCAATAGCATACTGGTTATTGAGGATTTGCTCTGCACTTCGATCCTTAAACATTCATCTATGTTCTTATTGATTCCCAACAACTTTAAAAGGAAGATACTTTCTTCTTTATAGTTGAGGAAAATGAAGTTCAAAGAAGTCAAAAAACTTGCCCAAATTTGCAAGGTGATTGGCAGATGAGTCTGAGTTTAGTCAAAGTCTATCTGAATACAGAGTCCAAACTCTAACACACAGTGTGGCCTGTTTCACCTACTAGGTGAGCCACATCATAATTCTGAGAACATGATTTAGTCTTTGGAAATTGCCTTCCAATCACCAAGCCTACAACTCTCAAATGGCTTACTATGTGAATGACTGGGGCCATGATTATGCACACACACACACACACACACACACACACACACACTCTGTCATTTTATTTTCAGTGAGGAGACCCTGAATTCTTCAGGCAGCTCTATGGATTTCTATATATGGGAGTCAGATGCTTCCCCACTGATCATTTCTCTGTAGGTCTAGGTTATTTCTCCTCCCTCGCCAGTGGTCTGGTTATCAGAAATCCACCAAGAGTAGGAGCAGCAAACTATGGTCTGAGCACCAAATCCAGTTTACCACTTGATCAGGCCTATGAGCCAAGAATGACATTTTTCCTTAGGTGGTTGAAAGTAGAAATCAAAAGAATATTTCATATTAAAATTATTAGAAAGTCAAACACCAGCATCCATATAATTTTATTAGAAACTCAAATACCAGCATCCATATAATTTTGTTGGAACATAGTCATGCTTACACTTCACACATTGTCTATGGCTGCTTTTGCAGAGTGGGGTTGGATAGTTGAGAGAGACAGCATATAACCGGCAAAACCTTGAATACCTGACCTTTTGTAGAAAAAGTTTGCGAACTGAGTTAGAAGCAGAGAATCTCAAGTCATGAGCCTCAGTCAAATGGGGGTGAGATAAGGTGCTGCACACGCACTACAGAGAAGGTCAAACTGCTTACAAAGTGGGAGAGGAGGTGGGGGCAGAGCCACATCCCAAGCACAATCAGGAAGCAGAAAAGATCAGGCTGCCTACCACCTCACCATCCCTATCAGGAAGTCAGGGTCACAGTAGGTGGTGTGTGCCTGGAGCCTTAGGAACTCCAAGCCATCTGGATTCCTGCCATGAGGTTGAGGCCTGGGACAGTTTGTCCATTCCCTCTCCCTCTTCCCTATATGAGGGTTTCTAGTCATTGTTGGGTTGTGGGGCTACAGACCTAACCCAGGACTCTCACATTTCCATCCTTAACTTTGCATACAACTTCTTGGTCCAGAAAAGACTTTCATATCTGTATATATATGTATGTATTATACATACATGCATTTCTGTCCCAACTTCCAAATGAGAGGGCGGGGGAGGATACATGGAAAGCTTCAATGAACTGCTGTTAGCAGACTGACAACAAGCTATGCTAGGAAGGAAGTGTTCTGATTGCCAGGGCACAGCTCAACCACCTTCTGAGGAGACGCTGTTGCTGCTACCAGATACACACAGTAAATAAGGAAGTGGTAAGAGTCTGCTTTTTATTTCTGGGAGAACGAGGGAACGCACACGTCTTTGTGCCTCACTCCCTCACCGGCACCATGGCTATGATTATGCAGTGTGGTCTGTGCCTTCCTGCTTGCTGAGTTCGGGGATCATGGGCTATATCCTCCTTCGCCACCCTCATGCCTTTTGTCCTCCTGACTCCCTTGAATGGTCTTACCCAAGTGTAGGGTAAATGGTTTTCAGGCTTTTCTGCCCTCCCACCATTAGGATTGCACTGCCTGATGGGGCACCTGCAGTTGTTACATTGTTGTAAGCTGTGTTTTTTAACTTCTGTGGGCCATGGCTCAGTATAGAGATATTCACAAGGGAGGTAGAGGCAGCAGAGAGAGAGAAGGGGAGAAAGAAGGCCAGAGAAGCCAAGAGTGAGGACTTGTCAGGGGGCTTGGAGGCCTGCTGGCTTCCTGTCCACCCCCACCCCGGCACCCCTGCCTGCTGTGTACCTGGTTGCTGCACTCCATGTAAAAGCTCACTAAAAGCCTGAGAAAGCCACCGAGGGCTACAGGACTCTCCTTTCCCCATCTGCTCAGATCATGGAAAATCAGCCCTGTGACCATCCTGCTCCTACACCAAAGATCGCCTGGAAGTCTGGCCCTGCGCCCAGGACTAGCTGAACAGTGAAGCGCCTCAGTGCTGCATGCAGGTTTCCAGATCAGGAAGGTATAGACAGTGATGAAATGGGGTCCAAAAGGTTGCAAGGGAAACAAAGCAAAAAGCAAAACCCTGAACCATCCCAGTGGGAGAGGTAAAGCCACCAACTCTGGACAGGTGGCCTTCTCAGCTGTTGGATGAGCAAAGGAACTAAAAATACCCTCATTTTAATAAGACCATTTCTAGCCACTGCCAGCGGGCTCTCCTTTGCTTTTCTCTTTTGGAACAAACAATGCAGTCAGGCCCTGAAAATAATTATTCCTTTCCTGCCTATTTATGCTTCACTGGCCCCTCCATCCTGTGTAGGGCAGAGGTCAGCTCTTGGGAGGCTGGGGAGGAGGAGCGAGGGGGAGCTGGGAGTGGGGGTTGGCCTTGGCGGATGAGCTCACCATGTAGGGAGCAGCAGTCGTGGGCTTATTTTGGCTGAAGAGGAAACCAAGAAGCGGGGAGAGGAAGTGGCCTCTATGCTTGTGTGTCTTTCTATATATAGATATCCACAGGCTGCCACACTGGCAAGCCTCTGGAACCATGAAACTCCAGGGTCAACTGCCTCCAGGCAGCCTGCACAGCAGAGGGTGCGGTGATGGAGGCCAGATTACTGCAGGAGGGACAGGTGGTGTCGCAGAGTGCCACCATGGGGGAAGCTTTTGGTTTCATGTGGTTACTGCCCTGCACTTTCTCCAGCCAAAGAAAAGTAAGTCAGCCGCACACAGCCCCATAGCTTGTTTTTCAGAGTCCCGATCGCTAGTTGCAAAGGGTGGTCACATGTGCCACAGTGCCACAGGTGCCCCCCACTTCCACCCAAGGAAGAAGATTCACAAAAAAATATGTAATAAGAGAAACGCAAATTACAAGACAATTAATAAAGGCACATACATGCGGAATCTGGAAGACTAGATAATCATCACCAGACTAGCCCACCGCCCTGTCTTTGATGCACGGCCTTAGGTAGAGAGATTTAACTGAACATGAATTTCCTCATTTATCAAGTGGTATTAGCCCTCCAAAACTGGAGAGATGTCCGAGAATTGAGTTAGACCACACTTGGCACACAAAAACCACTTGGTAAAGGGAAGCTAAAAACCCAAGTTCACGCCTTTTAGTGGCAGAATTAAGAAATGAATGCTGGTCACCCATTTATTGGCCCAGAGTGCTTTTCTGTGTTTTCTCCCTTTGACCACATTTTCATCTTGGCACATGTGTGCATTGGTGTGCATGTGAAGGAACCAAATATAGTTGGTTTTACAGACTCCTCCTAGTATCATAAATAAATCTTTGGTATTTAGTATGGCTCCATCTTTAGTCTCTGGGGAATTGCGTAAATTGCTTGGTATGGGGGGTGGGTGGGTTGTGGTCAGGCAGACAGTCTTTCAGGGGAAAAAAAACTCAGGCCTGAGGAATGGGGAAGGGGTGTAGGCATACCAGAAATCTATCCTCATCCCACTCAATCATTAGACAGCAATATTAGACTCAGTTGCACAAGAGGGGAGATAATCCATCATCTCCTCTGCATAGATTTTCAAATGGAAAATTCCATTCAAATTAAAATTCTGAGAAAGACGAGGCCCAAGGTACCAACTGCGAATAGTGAGGAGCAGGGCCTGGAGCACTTCACCTTCAAATAGGGGCTCCTCTGGCTTCGGGATGTGGACAAGCCTCTGCCTTCCCCCTAACTTCCTTCCAGGCAAAGCACTCAAATACACCCAGACACTTCAGCAGGGGGCCAGAACTCCCTTTTCCTGCATCTTAATTTAATCTGCTTAGATGCTTTGATCAGATAGTAGCTTAGAACCCAGTTGCTATCTATCCAGGCAGGTGGTGATGTGTGTGTTTTGGGAATAGGGAAGAGCTGGAAACTGGTTATCTCAATGACTATAAGGACACTAGCATGTTCCAGGGTTCAGGGATATGCACTGTTAACCAATTTACAGCATAGTTTTGTACAATGAGGAATACTTAATGCCAATAACACACCCTACTCAGAAACGCTCACTTAATTCCTACTCTAAATACCTGTCATGCCCAAAATTTTTGGTAGAAAATAGTCACCAGTTTCTCTATCTTTTAATAGGAGGGAGGAAACAGTTCCTGGAGCTTGGCTAGCCTTTCCAAACTCAAGTCTTCCCTGGGTCCCTAGCACAATTAAGAATAAGCGACATTTTCAGTTTTTATACTCTCAAAAATCAAGAGTTTACAAGGCAGAATAGGCTAGTGGCTCTCCAGATAGCAGCTTGTTAATAGTAGCATCTGGAGGGTTGACATTAGGATTTCCCAGGAGAGCAGAGGAACACGCCACTGATATAACTGATGCCCACCTAATCCTGGTCACCCAGAGGGTGTGGGTGAGGAGCAGAGAGACAGAGAAGAGACCACCAGTGGTATTACTTGGTCAGATAGTAATTCTAGGCAACCTTAGAATAACTGGCCAACAGGCATCTGGAACACAGCCCAATTCATGGTGACCTTATATGCTCTGGGACAACCTGATAGGCTGATGTAAATAGAAACACCAGGTCTCAGGGGCCTGGAAAGGGCAGGCTAAGCCCTCTCCTGAAAGCAGGGCCCCAGCAGGAGGCAAGGGAGTCTGCACTGGGAGTCTGGTTCAGCTAGCCCTACCCCAGGCCTCCTCCTCCTTGACTCCCTGTCCCAGGTCAGGCAGGGTGCCACTCACCTGATAAAATAGCAACAGAAGATGAGGCTCAGCATGAAGACAAAGATGCCCGTGCCAAAGATGACCATGTAGATGTTGAGAGGGAGGTCTTGGAAACTGATGGGTGGCATCGAACAGGACTTGTTGGTACTGACCAGTCCCAGGCCACAGAAACACCCTGCCAAGGAAGGGGGGAGGAAAAATATTATTATAGTTGGAAACTTACCAGAGAGCTCACACTACTCTGTGGCAGCAAGGCTGGAGAGAGAGAGAGATGGCAGACTCTGGGCTCCTAACTCTGATTTTATATCAGAGGGCTTTAGGTTTATATTGGAGCTCTAACATTTACTAGGTATGTAATCTTGGGTAAACTATTTAGCAAATCTATGAAATGAGACAGTGCACATAGCACTTAAAACAGGATCCGTGCAGGGGAATCAAGGAATCTGGCAATGGGCAGAAAATGCAAAAATCCATTCTATCAGGCAGAAGCCCATATAATGCATGAGTGAAATGAAGGGTCAGGGGTGAGAAAATGTTTATTTGGGTTCCAACTCTGCCTTCTCCCTAGATATGTGACCTAAGCTTCAGTTTGTCATATGGGAACAAGAGAAAATAACACAAGGCCCCAAAATAATGGTATATGAAATACGCTTTGTAAATTGTGAAGTGCAAATGCAAAGGTCATTTGTCATATATTAAGCCACCTGCTCCAGGACCAGAATAGCAATTGTTCACTGAAAGGCTGGGCCGGCATTCCAGAAAGTGGTGGGGGACAGATGCAGGGGAGTTTGCAGCTTACTTTACTGGCTGCCTTCCCCATTTCCTGCTCAAAGACTCAGTACAGTCCCACCATGGCAGTGGCAACCTCCATCCCCCAATCAAGCTTGTTAGAAATGCAGACTCTCGGGTCCACCCCAGAGGAAGTGAATCAGAACCAACATTTTAACAAGTTCCCTAGGAGATGCATCTGCATATTCAGTGTGGGGAGCATTGACTAGCCACTAAATGTTTCTCCCCCTTGCCACATAATTCAGGCAGGGGTAAACCATGGCAATCACTTCCCCATGCCAGGGTTTGGTGTTGAGGTGGGTATGTGACTGAGTTCTGGCCTCAGAAACATGGAGGTAGTGTGCTGGAAAAGGAAAAATTTTTCTTTCCATACCATCTCCCCAAGATACCTGGAATGGTGCAGCCAATTTGCAGCTGGAAGCAGAATAGTTTGATTTAAAGCCAATAAGAGCTGAAGGGGGCAGGAAGGACAAAGAGGAAGAATCTTCAGTTCAGCTGAGTCACTGGGTACTAATCCTAGCACCACTCTGCTATCTTAGACTACTGGTTCTGAGTACAATTTCTGTACTTTTTAACCATAAAGGGGAAAAATATAGGCTATAAATAATAACACTTGGTTGGATGTTTTTTCCTGCTTGTGGGTAAAAATCTTATGGATCCAAAAAGTAAGCAACACCACTTGGATTTCAGAAAGCGATGAGACAAAAAAACTAAAATTTACCACATACCTGCTTCTCCCCTGGTACATGTTCATGCTATCAGCTTAACCTTTGTAATATCAAAATACAGAATGAATTTCCCCGTCGATGGGAAACTTCATAAAATCATAAAGTCATAAAATCATATCCTGTCTACAAACAGCTAAGAAGGCTCCATTCCATACACCTCTCTTCTCAAACCTCCAAAACATTAGGCACTTTTCTGACATCGTGGTGCACAGCCAGAACCCTTCAAATGCTTCAGAATTCTACATGATGGTCACCAAAGTCACCACAACTCAGCAGAAGATTGACTTGAAAGACAGGAAATCATCTTTGACATTGTACATACATTGCACATATCATGGACCTTCATTCTTTACATCAATCTAGTGACCAAATAATGAGTGTCTCTTCAAACCTTTCAGACTCTGTGCCTAATGCTATTGCCAAATCCCTACCCCAAAACAGATTTTGTGCCCAATTCTATTCCAAGTCCTATTCCAGACTTCTAATTGATGTCTGGTCCCTCATCTAATTTAGCCCACATGTCTGACATATCCTCCCACTTGGTTTTTACTCTGCATTTCCCAAACTCATGACTGGCTTCAAGTCCTCCCACATATGTATGAGCTAGGTCCCCTCTCAACCACCCCTTCAGTGTCTTGCAGCTTCACCTCATGTGATCTGGTCATCTCACTATTTTTTTTTTTAAGATTTATTTATTTATGTACACTAGAACTGGGGTACAGGCCAGAGGTGCAGGGGGTGAAAAGATTCACCAGAGACAGAGTGGGGAACAAAACAGGCAGACTGACGGAAATACACCACTGAGGGGAGCAGCCAGTAAGTCAGGAGAGGTCTGTGGCACCATGTGGGTAGTTCCCTGGCCGGGGATTGAACTCATGCTGCAGTGGCTGCAGATAGCTTCATAGGTTGCGTCTTAACCCCCAGCGCCACCAGGGAGGCCCCTCACTATTTCTTGTCCCATCTTGTCCACAGCTGCATCCTTGCTTTTGTTCATGTAGCTTTCCCTGTCTGAGACAGTGACAATCTTCCTCCACCCTTTCCCGCAGTCCACCACGCCTGATCCTTGTGGAGTCCAATCCCCTCACCCCGATGCTACAGTACTCACAGTCCAAGTCACAGGGTCTGGCCTGTTCACACTTACTAATAGCCTTACATTCACAATTGTTCCTAGAATCAATTTAACTCATGCATTGAAGCATTGTTCATATGAACAAGTCCCATGACAGACAGTGAAGATTAAAAAAAAGCTAAATAAGAATGACTAGATGATTTTATCTTATGTGGAAGAAGAGAGACACAAAGTTTTTCCATACAAAGTGAAGCACCGTGGTGCAGTGTGACCATGAGCCTGACACACCTGAAAGCTTTCTGGGCCATAGACTGTGACTTGACGTGTATTCCTCTCCCCCAGGCTCGTGTTTGGCTTGTCCTCAGCAACTGGTGAAGAGGTAAATAAATCCCAGTTTTCACAAACAACATGGTATCCTTGGCAAAAACTCCTACGTCTAAGTAGGGAGACTGACATTTGGGAAAATTGCCCAGAAACTGCCCTCAGCTAATGGATGACCAGTCAACCAACAAGTATTGTTGAGGGTCTGATTTATGCACCGACCTGGCATTGTCGGGAAACAAAAGCAAAAGTAGTTTTTGTGCTGAAAGATTTGCTGATCAAGTTGAAAAAATTAAGTAATTGCAGACTAAACTTTGCTGCGTCCAAAAAGAAAGTCCTTGCTTCTAGGTTCAACAGGGGTTAGAAGGAAAGTCATTTTCACCACCCCTCCGGCCTCCATTCAAATATTTTCTCTCTGTGGGCCAAAAGAGATCAATTTCTCATGAAGTCATGGACTTTCAATCTGCCCTGGAAAAGAGATCTAAGGAATCTCCTTGCAGGCAATTATGTTCTTTTTTTTTTTTTTTTTTGGTGGGACCCTTGCTGGTGGCCGGGAATGAACCGGCCCTGCAGAGGCTGCGGGCAGCCTTGCAGCCCAGCGCTCAACCACTGCGCCACCAGGGGAGGCCCAGGGAACTATGTTCTTAATATCAAGGAGACCTACCTCCCCTGCAGCGGCATCAATGGCCCACCCCTGCCTCAGCATATTGATGCCATCACAGACTCTAATCCTGTGGCTCTCCCATGCACCTCTATGAGCTGAATCCAGGTATCTTTAGAGTGCCAAAGAACCTGATGTGGTTTCCTGGAAACCTGCCAAGCAGTGGTTGCAGCAGAGGGTGTGTGTGTGCAAGCATTTGGCCCCAGCAGTGCCCTCCATCAGTTATCTTGACCATCTTGTCTGACAGCAGCTTGCCTTGGGCCTCTAGGACTGAGTCAGTGAGCTTGGGGGCTTTGCATGTTAAAAAGGTGGGTGAGAATAGCTTCTGGGCCAGAAGAGATGGTCCATTTGCAAATATTAAGATTTTTTTTTAAAAAAGAAAAAAACATATACTGGCTAAAAGCTGACACGGAGTAAGTAGTTTGTCCTCTAAAACTCACAAGGGCAGGATACCAATCCTAGGAAAGAAGGGTGGAGAGAGGGATTTGCTTCTTTGCTTCTTAGTCACTTTAAGAAGCGAAAAAATAAATGAGCAATCCTCTGCTAGACTACACCTCCCGTGAGAGGGCTGCCCCCCAAAAAGCCTAGGAATACTTAAAGTCCCCTTGGTTCTTCTCTCGAAGTCCCTGTTCCATTGTCTTGGCCCACCTATGGCTGTCTTGACATCAGAATGTCTCATCTCCCTTACCAGACTGGGAGCAGGAATGACGTCAAGAGAAGGGCTGGCCGAGAAAGACCAGTGGGTCTGGGAAATGCTTCTTCTTCCCAGCCACCGGGAATCTTTCCCAGATGCTGTGATGCACTGTTCTGTCCTCAACCCCCTTCCTCCACCCCCTATCTGGCAATGCCCGCCTATCACACACAGCTTCGTTCATTTTCAGGAAATTAGATCCTACTAGCAAGAGGAAGAGGGGGGTGGGGGACACTCATACACATGCTGCCCAAACCCTGCCTTAAAACAAAAGCCTCTTGAAATAATTAATCCAAGATCTGGCAGGAGTCTGCTCTCAGGGATGAATCTTTTTTTTTTCCTCCTACTAGCCAGCCTGCCATACTCAGAGATAAGGCCAGCTGCTCTCCTGCCCCCACCTCCCAAGCCCCGCCCTCCTCCAGAAACTCTCCAAGTGTTAGAACAAGGCAGTCAAAACCCTCGGGCCATTGGAGGATATTGTATCTACGGATCTGAACTGACCTACTTTTCAGAAAGACCCTCTTTTATGGTCGTTTGGGTGAGGGTTCCGACCCAAGCTCTGGACCACGTGAACCGCTGGGGGCGGGGGTGACAAACCTCAGGTGAGATGACTACAGCATCCCCCACACCAGGAAGCCGGTAGGGAGCAGGAGGGGTGACAGGGTCCGGAGGTGCAGTTACCACCAAGGCTCACGAGCTAGTGCCTCAGTCCAGCCTTGGCGCCAGAAGACACGGCTCCCGCCAGGTTAGCTCAGCACCCAAGGGTATCCAGGCGCCGAGATATCTGCCAGGCTTTATTAATTCCATACCGCCACGCTTTCATCCGGCGTCTTCCACAGGCACAAAGCACCCCCCTAGCAGCGGGGGGGGGGGGGGGAACCCCACAGAGACAGAGGCTGCCGCCCCCAAGTCCAGTCCCGCAGGCTGCCTTGTATACATATTTAAAATAGCCTGCAAAGTTTCGGGGCCGGGAACTTGAGCTCCCTCTAGGAGATCCCAGCCCGTGCGCGGATTTAATTCTCCTCCGACAACCACAACAAAGGACAGAGTTCGAGCGCACAAAGGCTAGGGAAGGGGGGAGAAGAGCGAAGCCGCCACACAAAGCCAGGGAACCCCTCGACTCTCACGCCCCCCGCCCGCCAAAGGTTCAGGCACCCTTCCTGACCCTCGAGTTAAACCTGGTTTTTTTTTTTTTTTTTTTCCAAATTCCGCGCTCGGCAGAGCAGAGTTGGGCGTCTGGACGCCTCCTGGACCGTCCGATCTCATGAGAAACTTGGCTCAAGAGGGCGAGAGCGCCCTCGGTGGGATCTTTAGCCTTGCGCCCCCTCCACGTCTCTCGCCCAGCCAGCGTCCGCTCGGGACTCACCGTTACACCACTGGAAAGGGTGCATCAATGAATTCTTGGCTGGCTTCCTCGGGCGAACGAGCGCAGGCGGCGGGTATGGCTGGCGAGGTGGGCGCAGCCGGCGGGTGTGCAGGGGAGGCCGGTGCGGTCCGCGGCACCGCCTTGCTCCAAAAGTCGAACTTCCTCCGGGGTGGGGGGGCTTCGGCGAAAAACCGGTTTTAGAGCAACAAAGAGAAAAGCGGAGAAAACAAGCAAACAGAAAGTGTCCTGTATCAAAGCACCACAGAAGAAATGTAGGAAGGGCCTCGGGGCTGGGGAGGATGTGGGGCCACAGAAAGGGGCGGGAGGACCCAGAGATTCTCGGCTCGGAGAGGAGGGAAAATCCTTAGGTGGAGGCGAGGCGCAGGTCCGGGGCGCGGAGGTGAGCAGACGGGGACTAGGAAACTGACACCGGCTGTGCACACCCCCTCCCATTTACTCCCTCCCGGGAAACCCCGCCCTCACCCCCGTCACCCGCCCTCCGGCCAATTAGAAGCATCCTCCTGGCCCCCGGGGTTCTGTGCAGGCCCGCCCCCTGTTGGGGGGGTGGTGGGGGTTCTTGGCATTGAGGGCTCCGCCCCCTTCACCTTCCCAATCTTGAGGAAACTTATGTGCAAAGAAGCCAGCTGCGCAGTGCGCACAGCGGAGTCGAAGTCGGCGGGGTGCCAGCCACCTCCGTCTGGACCTCAAGGAAAAGGAATAATTAGTGCCACGTTGTTTTCTGCCTTCAGATCTGTTGCTATTTAGCATTTCTATAGCTCTTTGAGAAGCCAGTTCTTGGAAAGTGGTTCCATGTCTCTGAGGTGGGCATGGACTTGGTCCTGGGTGGCGGCTAACACGTTCCTTTGATCGCTGCAAAAGGGGAAACCCAGCAAGAGGAGAGGGTAAAGCAGATGGATCACAACAGCGAGATCTGGATGAACTCTAGATTAGAGATCTCATTTTTGGCCAACTATTCAGCCAAGGCCTGTAGCATAGATTTAAGGTAGATGCGTCAGGATTGCACGCTCCCGAGTGTAGAATCAAACCTGCAAATCGACCTTGGGCAGCACCTTAAAGGGCAGTGTTCTCAGCATCTCATTGGTGTTGGTGTTAATAAATACTACTTGGGGAAAAGACAGCATGTTGATTCTGTTAGGGGGAAAAGGATGTCCTATTGGGGCTGCACTATAACAATTCCTCATCCAATATGCTTTCTTTTCCTGACACTGCCGCGACTTTCTCTTATGGGGTCTGATTTTTTTTGTCTTTCAATTATTCAGCATTTAGGGAGACTCACCAATGGTTGTCGAGTCTTCGAGGTTTCTGTTCTCTTGGATTTGCAGTGAATGAGGAGACAGGCAGTAAACAAGCAAGCAAACAAATACAAATGACTTGGTCTAATCTTCCTATTAAACTTAATTTGTTAATTGAAGGTGATAAATACTTTCCCTAACTGGAGAATTTGTGACACTCAAATAAGATTATGTATATGAGTGCTTTATCATTTAAAAGTATGATGACTTAGGCATCATGTGACTTGGCCAAGCTCACACAACAGTCTGCAGCAAATAGTTTAGCACTTAATTACCTAATTATCTTAAAACATTTTTTTTTTCTTATGAGTTAGTCTGGAGCAGCATCAGGTACAGATCCAACTCATTTTATCTCATAATTGGACAATTGCAAAAGCTCCTTAATTTGCTTCTGGGGCTCTAGTCTATGAAAGACCATAGAGCCGGCCAGAATCACTGTGGAGATGTTACATATCCAGACTGCCAGGCCATAAGCTCAAAGATTCTGACAGAATATGAATAAAGGGAGGGCCCAGAAATGCTCATTTAACATGTGTTGTCCCATGAATTCACTCAGTTAGGCCGAGAGATACAAAAACGAATCTTTTCCCCAAACCTGTTCTCTCCACGGACCCCAGAGTTACCTTTCTAAAACATAACTCTGATCAATTCCTTCTCTTAATAGCTTTTGTGAGTCCCTGGCACTGAAGGGATACAGTAAAATTTTAGACTGTGCATGCAAGGCAGTCCAGTCTGTCCTGTTTTCATTACACCAAATGCACCATCTTCCCCACACACTCTTCATCAGCCACGAAGTGTCTGAACTGTTCCTTCAATGCAGTGCATTCTTTCTTGACTGCGATCTTGTACACAGCATTGCTTATATTTGGAAGGCCCTTTTCTTTTTGTGCTTCACAAACATTCTGTAAGATTTAGCTAAAAATTCACCTCTCCTGGGACTGATCATTGTCTCTTTTTTCCTCTGCATCTTTATCAACACTCTTCACCTACAGTGCAGTGTATTGTGCGACTATGAGAATGAATATGTGATTTCCTGAGTTTGAGCCCTTCAGGAGGCCTTCTTGTAAGAAAATTTTCAGGGCATGCCCCACTCTGCTGGTTCCAGCACCTGGTTCAATAAATATTCTTGGAATGGATATGCGTCCGCTCATGTGTATAAATTTTCATGCAAACAATTTAAGCCATGTTCTAGGTACAGGTCAGAGATTAGAAAACACATATAATTGCTACTTATCTAATAGTTCTTTCTATTCAATAGCTCAGGGGAAAGGTGTTGATAGGTGTGCTTAATTGCATTAAGGAGTTCCTGCTAGATGCCTCCAGGGCACAACTGTGAAGGAGGGCAAGACTTTGAAGGGAAAATCAAGACTGGAAGTGAGTAGCATCTCCCTCCTAGATTAAAGAGTGTGCCCAGGTGGGAAGACACTTGGAAGATAGGACAGAGGAAGTTCTTGTGGAGATAGACCTGGTCTGTCAGCACAGTGTACATGTCCATCACCACCACATTGACCTCAGATGAGCACAGCCATCAGAAAGAATGGTATGCGGGCCTCTCTGGTGGCGCAGGCGGTTGAGTGCAGCGCTGTGGAGGTTCGATCCCCGCCTGCCGTGGAGCAACCCATGTGGAGGGGCAGACCTCTCCTGTCTCGCCTGCTGTTCCCCTCAGCAGTGTGTTTCAGTCTGCCTGTTGTGTTCCCCGCTCTGTCTCCGGTGAATCCTCTCACCCTCCCACACATCTGGCCTGTACCCGGGTTCTTGTATAAATAAGTAAATCTTTAAAAAAGAAAGAAATAAAGAAAGAAAGAATGGTCTTTAACTGTTACAGGGCAAACCCTGATATAAAATGGGGTTGCCTGACTGTGGGTCCTCACCCGCGGGCTTAAAGGGGACTTATTAATGCTAAACTGCAGATGTACACAAAGGTTGATGAAAGGTTTATTTACAAGGGAAGGGGAAATGGGAAATGAATAACTCAGGGAGAAATAGAGGGAGATAAGTTCGTAAATGCGTCCTACCTCTTCCGCAGACCTGGAATCCTAATGACCTGCCCCAGCGAGCAAAAAAAACCTAGCACACCTGGTGGCCAAGCCCGCAACTCCCCCAGCCCCCAACGCAGCCAGTTAAATACCCAAACCAAGAGCCTAGTTGCTTAACTTCACCCTCAGGTTCTCGCAACCCTCCCTTTGGTGATCATGGGATTTGTAGTTCCCATTGTTATGGGGGTGGAGTCCACAAAGCCTGTATGGAGTTTGCTCAGGACATCCTCTCCCCCATTACCCCCAATCAGATGATAGTTCATAGCCCTGCTTTTATTAGCCTGGGAGATGTCTGGTTATTTTATTGAGGAAGGAACTGAAGCAGCAAAGAAGGCGATGGATCTTACATTCGAAGCCACTTGAGAAATCTGAAGTAGAATTATGTTTCCAAATCTCTCATAGAAAGAGGGAAAGGAAAGGCTAAGCCTCCAGAAAAATGCCTAAGGCGTGAAGGGCTCTCTTGGTCCACTGCCCCACTCTAGTATCCGTCTCCTCCCCAACATGAACCCCCTCACTTTAAGGCCTTGCAAGCACTAGAGAAACACTTTGGAAGAGAGACAGCTAATTCTGTGGAGGAGCACAGGACCAGAAAACTAGAGAAACACATGCACTTGTCAGAAGAGAGACAGAGCCAGATTCTGTGGAGGAGCACAGGACCAGAAAACTTAATCATCTCATTTCACCTTTAGAAAGAGACTTTCTTCCATGGACTTCAGAGACTAGCCCTAAAATATAAAAGAAAATGCTCACTGTGGTGATTATGAAGAAAATATAACTGGCCCCACATAAGCATGTCCTGTTTCAAAATTAGACAAACAGTACATTTTAATTTCTGATGAGAAGAGTTTGCAGGAGAGGAACATGAAACTCTTTGAAAGGGTGGAGAGTTCATTGCATATGTGGGGAAATGAGGTGCTTTCCTTATTTTGTTCTTAAAAGAGCTGACTTTCTCCTGTCCAGATGCCCTGGAGTGTCAGTGCCAAGAAAACTTTAGGCGATTGATGCAACTCAAGATTCATAGTCTTCCCAGCCATACCCTAGGTGACCCTCTCCTCTCTTCCCGCCCTTTCTTCCTACCTCTCCCTCTCTCTGATCACTTGCTCTGGGGGAATTCAGTAGTCAGGTCACAAAAACACTCACCAGTGGAGAAGTCATGTCACGCACTTTGGTCAAACCAAAGAAAAGAAGTCACGAGGAACAGAAGGTCTCTGGTAAAAGCCATGGGAAGGAGCTTGGACATGGGTATTTCAGTCTCCGTGAAACCTCACAGAATGGCAGGCCCTGCCACCACCCTGGCGGCCACGTCTTGAGAGACTCGGCGAAACTACATAGTGAAGCTGCTCTGGAATTTCTGACCCCCATAAACCCTCATAAACAAGCAGTGTTTGTTGCTTAAAGTCACTGCTTTTTGGGGTAATTTGTTACTTAGCAATAGATAAATAATATAGCTGCTGCTGTAAGGAGACATAAAAACATGGAGGCTGCTTTATTTCTGCTTTGTAAATATTCCAAAGAAAAGAGGGGCCAGGTGAGGAGGTGGTCCTGCTTTGTGAAACCATTCAGAGACCCGGGTTTTTTTCTTCGGCAGCCTGGCCTGGTTGTTGGTATATAGAAGCCGGTTTACCACCCTAAGTTCTGACCCCCAAGGGAGGGTGGAAAGCGAAGAAGGCCAGCTTATTCTTCGGAAGCGCTAGAGCATGACTCTTGTCCCCATTCCACTGGTGAGAGCCAAAACAGTGTCACACCCTCTGGCTAGGAAGCTGGAGAGTGGAGTCTCAAGCTAGGCAGTCTCAGCTTTCGGCTGAAGCTCAGGGCTGTTCTATTAATAACAGGAAGAAATGGAGAATGGAATCTGGCAGATGCCGAGCAACCTCCCCCTACCTGAGGCCTGGTGTGGGTGCCTGCTCTGTGACTTAGGCTCAGGTCTCTCCCTTGCAGAATGATTATAAAGTGAAGGACTGGATAAGATTGGTAGTTTTCAGACCATTTGTTTTCAAAGAAGTAGAATCTTTTTATTAAGAAATATTTAAAAAGAGAAACTATGTACGAAAGTAGAAAGAAATGATCTCTCTGAATCC